TGATACCCAACTTATTGACATAATTTCACGAAATAGTAGTTCAATAAAATTTTGAATGCAAGTCAACAAACGAGATGACATGGCCTTTCACCCAAGACCCGTCTAGAAAGGGTTAATAACCAAGAGTTATGCCAAGTTGAGAAGGAAAAACAACTTTACCCATAGCTAACTCACTTAAAGATTTAATCACTGAACACGAGTATAAAAGTCTATACTGAATTACTGTCCAACAATTTTGAATAACTGTGTCACAGATATCATTAGTTATAGCAACTTAAGATTAAGTTACTGTTTTAATACTAAACTGATGTACATGAAAATATATGTGTAACATAACACAAAACCTGAAAATAAACATTACTTGGTGACGTTGATTATAAATCAGAAAAAATACTAAATGCTACATTCTCAGATTTTCTTGGATGTTACCTGTGTACACACACTTACAAAAATTTTCAACAGCATAATAAGCGGTACTGCATGCCCAGTCAGATTAAGGTACAGAAAGGAGTATAGGATTGTTATGGAAAACTGGGATATTTATTACTAAATAAACTAATTATTTATCATCATTAAATAAAAAAGAATACAGTATTGTTAGAGAAGACCAGGGTATCTTACTTTAGTAAACTACTACTAAATTGATTAAATCATTATCTATGGAGTTTTTAGTCTGTTTTACTTAACCATATAGCAACCTAAATTAATTTAGGTATGGGAATAATGCTATGACATTTCGTCAAATTCATTAATCGATATTAAATATCAGACCAAATACGTCACAGATTCTCTTTTCAATTTCACCTCTGGTGAAAAAGAAAATAAATCTTTAATATGCAATTATTAAACAGTTGGTCCACTGTATAATATTGAATAATGAATTCAATGAAATGTTATAACATTATTCCCATACCCAAATTAATTTGGGTTACTATATGATGAAGTAAAACAGATTAAAAACCCCACAGATAGTTATACACACTTCACCATTATAAGAGGCCTAATGGTATGTATTTGGTTTGTTGACCCAATTTCACTTGAACAAGTGAAACCGCAGTCTATAGCAGAGAGTGTGGCCAATCAAGGGATGCATAAGGCCTATACATCACAGGTTCTCTTTTCACTTTCACCTCTGGTGAAAAAGAAAGAAATCTTTAATGTGTATATACGAACTAATTCATTGTTAAAAAACTGTCTTTAGATTTCGTATGATAAAACTTGTAAACATTATTGGTACAGTGTGTGATCAATAATATATAATACAGTTAAAACAAATTCACTCCAATCTCAGAAAAACGAAAACAATACAACATTTATTATTTGGTAGGAACACTTGTGATTATACTAGATGAATTCTCTGCAGTGATTAAAATTATTCATAAGGTAGAAACCAAAACTTTGTAAGAAATATTAAAAACATGACAAAAAAAATCTTTAATTACCAATGCTTCAGAATATTTTAAAATTCTATCATAAACTTGAAAAACTTAAACAATTAACAACTTTACAAACAGAAAAAAAAATGCATCAAGCTTTTAAGTGAGAAGTTACTGATACAGATAGAAATTGTAGAAACACATGCGCGTGCTGAGAAATCAACAAGTCAAACAATTTACTATACTAGGCTATGTTGATGAAATTACCAAGGTTTGCTGCTCAAAAGAGTACTTTATTTTAACTATATGTTATCCCGTAAGTTATTTCCAGCATGTAAACATGATTTATTCCATTTAAAACTTTCCTTAAAAACTGAGGATTACAAACCATTGTTACAAAATCTCCATAAAATTTTCTTGTCATTATGGTGTCAGCTTGGCATAATATGACACTTACAATATTGGTATAATATAATTCTATATTTTATAAAAAAAAACATACCTAAATTAAATAATAAGCTTTTTCAACTATCTTAATGATACTTTATTTTTTTAAAACTGCTTGTTACTAGTTAACAGAATAATGCATCCAGTGGACATGATCAGATAAAAAATATTTAAATCATTTTATTTTCAACTCTATCTAAAAGTATAAGATGCCACCACAAATTAGTATCATAAGTATTTCTAAATAAATAGCATTATGTTGTTTAATCTAATAATATGTATGTGTATTTGTAAAAAATTCAATTGTAAACAAAATTAAGACAATATGTACATAGGGAAATAAGTGATTAAATTTGATAACATATTTTCAGTAAACTTTGTTATAATTAGTCTAGATAAAATCCGAAAATGATCTGTTTCCTGAAAATAACTTACTGCAATCAGTTCGTGAATGTGAATGTTTCAGTGTTGAGGTTTTGTTATTGTATAACTAATTCTCCTGTTATATAATGTTTGTTTTTGTGTTTACAATAATAATATTAATATAATGTAAAAACTGTTAGTAAGTCTAACCTAAAAAAAATTAATTTAAATATCAACTTCTGCATGAAAAATTATATAAATGAAGCTTAGAAAAATGGATACCTCTTGTGACATCTACCTACATTCTAAAAACTAAGCAGTCTTTATGTTCAAAAAGAAAGGTTCTTACAGGTACTTATTTTAAGTATGTATGATAGTACTTAATAGTAGGGATCGACAAGGATTCCAAATAATTCACTTCACATGATGAAAAACCACCACACTGAATTCCTAAGTATTGGAGATATATTATGTGCATGTATGCTGATAATATGCTATAAAAATTCCAAAATTTCTAAAACAGCAACTTTTTCGGTTACTACCTACCCACCTGATTACATCAGCGAGGCTAGCAGCTAAATGGTCGGGCTATCACTACAAGATTTCTCCAGCTTAAATGACTGGTCTGTGATAATTCTTTTTTGATATTCCAATCAAAATCAATATATATATATATATATATATAAATATATATAATATAATAAATATAAATGGTAAACATATCATGCATATACTTAAATATATTTTCAATCCAACAGATGGCGCTACATATTAATGGATAGACAAGTGACAGTTTATACCCATAAAACATAAATAAACAAGAGTATTTATAAATAATGAATTTTAAAATGAAGTAGGGATCCTGCTACAAAAAGTAATGAAACAAGAATTAAAATCACACTCACAAATTTAATCTCCACTTTGGCAGCTTTATACACTTCTCTATAGGCCAAAGTAAATATTAAATTTTATGAATTTGAGATTGTGGTTTTAAATATTTGTAAAAGTTATAGCTATCACAGATATGGCTCCACTGAAAATTTATAGATGTTGTACCCATTCCACAGAAATATAAGAACTGATCAAATAAATAGGAAAAAATAATTAAAATTTTAACAGAAAGTAGGTATCATCGGTTATTTGTAGAATTGCTATAAAAACTATCCAATCCCTACTTTGGTTGGCATTGTTATCCATATAGTTAAATAAAGCAGTCTAATTTTGCCAACAAAGGAGGGACTAAAAATAGTTTTAAAATCTATCCAACTTCTATCACTTTACTTGTTTGTGTACTTTATATTGCAGCATTTATTTTGTTTTGAATACTTCATATGGCAATTCTACAGATAACCAACGGTACCTACTTTCCATTAAAATTTTAATTCTTTTTCTTATTTATTATCATTAGACAATTCAGTAATAAAAAAAATGTCTGCCCCTACCAGGTTTGGTTCCCACAATGATTCACACATTCCATATGCTTGTTCTACACAGGTTCCACATACAACAAAGTCTTCGGGTTCATTAGGACAACCAATAAGATCCATGTTACAAATGTATGGTTCATTTGTCTTAGGATCTAAGCCTGCTATAACTGGTTCTACAAAATAAGGTCCAAACCTAAAAATTCAAAACTTCTTTATTGCACTACATATATAAAGAGTATCTCATTTACACTTCACAATTTAAATGTATGTCATATAAGAAAAAAATATATATCTACCTTCAGGTACATAGAAATTGTATCATAAATTTACCTGTCCTGCAAAAGTAAACTCAATTCATTCTGATGTAGAAAACTCCAACAAAGGATATCAAAATACAGTATGCATTTATAATAGTTAAAAAAAAGAATAAAAGATAATTTAAATTCATTAATAGCATATTAAAATGTTACTTTGTTTCTGAACTATATCATAAGATTCCTTTTATTTTAATTACACTATAACTTAATATAATTTTACTTTAGTTTTACATTTGATCAAATTTTCAAGGCATCTTAAACCAAAACTATTTATGTTACATTTTAAATTAGGTCATCAAGAAAAAATAAAACTGAGCTTACATCAATTTGATAAACTAAGATAATTTACATGTATTGCAAGACAAATAAATATAAATTAATGTAGATTCAAATTAAAAAAACAAACTGAACTTCCACTAACATTTATAACTAAAGCATCTTTTTTCAATGCTCATTTAAACTGGAACTCATTTACATATTACTAGCAAATTATTCAATATAACACATCTTCATAAGAACTCAATTTTGTCAAGTATTTTTTTAAATCAAAGAATAAAATCATATTAATAATAATACCCATTTACTGTCACTTAATAAACATTTAACCAGATATTTTCACACATCTCTAACAGTAGTGATTCCCTACTTAGCAGTAATACATGCAGGTAACAGTAGTGTTTGTAATGTCATAAAATTTGAACCATTTTGTCTACAAGTTGATCTCTTTGTGAAAATAAAATTTATAACTTAGTTATATTTTAAACTAGATTTAAATTTATATTTATAATATTAAAATTGTGGAACTTAGTTCTTACAAGATTGTTGCAACATACAGAATGACAATATTAATCAAACAATCACCTGTCAAGTTCTGTCAATTTTTTAAAATGTTCTCTTGAAGAAAATAAAAGCTCATAACACTTAATACCCAACTGTGCAAATCTAAAACACATACAACATACCTTCGTTCATATAATAAATTGGAGACAACAGCACTGAAAGTTTTTGGTCTGATTCTTCGATTTTCACGTAACTCATATAGATTAAGGCGAAATTTCAGTCGCTGAGCTCTTAAAATGGAAAAATATATACATATATATATTTTTATGTAATGTGAAAAAATTCTCAGTTTCATTTAGTTAATTTGTAACTTACATTATTTCCTTAGTAATATTACTAATACCTTTCACATAAAACATTGACTTAAGTAAAAATATTTCAAGAGATAAAGTACATTGTTATCTATTTCATAGAATGAACTGATGGAAACCCAAGTGTTTTACCAATACACTTTATCGTCTTTTCATCATTTGTCATTTCAACTATACAAAATATGGTGGAAACAGAAAAAAATCACAATGTTTTAAGGAACAAAGTGATATTCTAATAAAAGTTTAGAAGTTTATATTGTGAATTCATAATCATTAGCAGTTTAAAAGTTATATCATTCTTTTATATGACTTATCTATCTTCTTACAGCTTTCTTTAATACAGTAAGTTACTCACAAAAATATTTTCTAAAATTACTGTTTAAGTTATTTAATATTAGCATTGCTAGAACTGGGCAATTAACTCAATTGTCTAATAGAATCAATTACATTAATTAATGTTATATAAAATATTCTATTAACCCTTTCTGCATGGCATCAGTCCATTGCACGTAACTACATTCAAAGCTTAATTAGACTACTACCACCAATGCATGTCAATAAACTCGGCATCAAAATGTAGCTTATAATTCATCTTTTAGTATTTTTAAGTTCTAACATTTTAGTTTCAAAGGGAAGTATTTATAATATTCTTAATATTCACATGTGTTGTCATGTGACATACATGCATTCTAGATTTATCCCTAACTAATATAAACACAAGCAAAAATACTGACATCCTAACTTTTCCATTTGCTGAGATAAATATATTTTTTCCAACCTACTACAGAAGTCCCACCAACATATCCTTAATTTTCAAGGCAATATTCACAAACATGTGTTCTTATGTGATACACATATTTATAACTAATAGAAAGAGCATTTTTTATTTCTACTTTCCAGCTGTTCTTTTCAATTTGGCAGCAACAGATGTTAGTTGAGAGGAAGTGACTGTATGTAAATGAAATTGTTTCTCAAAAAGTAACAGAATTATTTTACCCTATTTATAACTTAGTTAGAAAGCCAGTTAAATGAGAGTAGTTTGAACATTGCTTTTATTTCTCTTATAGCAAAGCCACATTGGGCTATCTGCTGTGTCCACCAAGGGGAATTGAACCCTCGATTTTAGCACTGTAAATCCGTAGACTTACCACTGTTCCAGCGGGGGACATGTGCACATTGATACCCTGTCTGGAGAAGCTGCTGGTATAGACACAGCTGTCATAGAAGATTGGAGAAAATGTCTCAAGTTTATATGCACTGGTTACAGACTCAAACACACGTTTAATTCAGATGAGATTGGTATCTTCTATATAATTTTTTCCTTACACTCAATGATGGTTAAGAAGAAAAAGTACAGAATCAGTGTTTTGCTTGCATGTTCTGCAGCTGGAGAAAAGCTGACACCCTTCATCATAGGGAACAGTGCTAAGTCTCGTTGCTTCAAGGGCTTGGCTAACCCACTCTATTTTCATGTGACATATGCTTCAAACAAAAAGACATGGATGACCAGCAAGTTATTCCAGCAGTGGCTCAATAAGGTCAATAGCAAAATGAAAGCTGAAGATCACTTAATTTTATTATTTGTGGATAATTGTACTGCCCACCCTGAAGTTGTCCAAAGCAATGTAAAGCTGTTTTTTTTGCCTCTGAACACCAAGTTCAAACTTAAGCCATGCAATGTTAGAATTATCCAAAAATAAAATGCACTACAAGAAGCTGCTCATATGGCATTTTGTTTCACAAGAATGAAGCCACATGTACAACTGACTTGGCCAAGAAGGAAAATGTGCTGGATGCTATCATGTAGTTAAAGAGTGCATGGGGTAGCATACGGCCTACAACAATTTAGAAGTGTTTTGCCAAATGTGTTTTTTCAGAGGATCTGCCTGAAGATTGCGAAAAAAATAATCTTGAAGTTGACAATGATTTTGTAGCCTTTGTGGAGAATTTTGATGTGACCTAGAAAGGGTTTGCAAACCTTGATGATAATGTTGCCACCAACAGTATTTAAAGCTAACAGTTAGTGTTTGTGTGTTCCATAAATCAGAAAAATCTATTATTTCTTTATTTTTACTTCCAATAATAGTATTAGTTAGGATGTTAATCTAGTTTTATTACTATTTAATTTAATTTTTTATTATCATACTTTCATTAAATTTTTTTTTTTGCATTGTTAGCTTCACATATTTAAGACTAACCTAAATATCATGAGCTGGCCAAACCTTGAGATATTATTGGAATAAAGACTGAAAATACTGTTAACACCAAGAGTACTCAACTTATGAAACAATGCATTCTAGTCTTTGTCAGTAACAATATAAGAAAAGTATATTTAATTAGCCTACACTCATTACTAGCTTTAGTTTAGTTTCACTTTAAGTAAAACAACAAAGCTTGACAAAATAACATTAACAAAGAGGTTGATTGATACCAAAAAATTAAGTTATATCATATATTCTTGCATAATCAATATCTCTATTCTTAACTTTTATCACACTGTTGTACAATTAATAAGTATTTCACTTTAATAAAGCATCTTTTACTACTTAAATACTGTATGGTAGTTTTGTCTGTCGTAATATATTTTTGTTCATTAAAAAAGTCTCGTACAGTAATACAAAGATGGCTGAGCTAGAGGCATTACAAAAAATAAGTACAATAAAATTTTACCTGACGTAATTTTTTTACATGTTGTTTCATACATAATTTGTGGTCATATTTTGTGGTATTACCTATATATGGACCACTAATGCTGAAAAATACTTTTTAATATAAAACTGTTGAGAGATGCTAATGCACCCAAAATTGTTACAAATAATATATACGACTTCTAAAATAAAACGAACTTCGTAAACTTATAAAGAAATTTTTCATTCAATACCCTGAAAGTTTATTAGTGAACCTACACAGTTGCTGTGTCTGTAGCAAGCCCTGGTAAACCCAGATATAGGTTTGGACCCATCTCAAAGATCCTATTGAAGTTAGTACAAATCAGCTGGCCTTGAACCCCAAGACGACGATCAGCAGCAATAGCTACGCATTCCTTGCCTTTCATGGCTATTACAACACCTCCATTGTACGTTAAAATGCTCTAAAAAAAAAGAATTCATATTTAATAAACTTAATTATACAGCCACCATCTTAAGTTATGTTATAGATTGTTGCATTATGCAAGATTTGCCACATATGTGCATTGTATCAAATGACCAATGTGAAACAATCAATGCCAAACTAATCTGAATGATAAGTTTTGTCAAGTATTAAATACATTTTTAAACAAAACTCAAGTACTGCAATTCAAATAAATTATCTTGTTTCAATAAGCAACACAGAATTCAGAATTTTCAGCTATAGATGTACTCTTTAAACACATGTGCAATCAACTATCATTCTTATATAAATGAAAACTATTGACTTTACAAAAATTAAACAGGGATGACAAAGGCCACTGCAGAGGCTTAGAACAACAATGATAATATTTCAGAATACAGTCATAAAATATTGATTTATGGCCTTATGTGAACAGCAAAATATTAACAGAATTAATTTAAGAAATGTAAATTACCAATTTGACTGATGTATTAAATAATGTTTTTTTTTAATGGAGTAGATGGGTAATTTTCTTGTTGATATAGAGAGTAAATGTTTTCACATGGTTGTTTGTTTTTTTTTTTTACTTAATGATAATTATCATTTCTGGTTTTTGAAACTGATTAAACTACGAAAAATTGTTCTGTAAACCTCTTAAAACCTATATAATCCTCGTCGTCGTAAGATATATCTTAACTATTAAAAGTTTGGAGTAAGTTCTACAAAGTTGCCATCTAAGCCAGCTACCCAGGTGTAAAAATTCTTGGCTTGAAAGAATACCAGCTGACCCCAAACTAGTTGGGGTTAAGATCATTATGGAAAAGAAGATTAAGAGCTTGAGTACAAAAATAAAGGTAGTTAAATTATTTTGCGACTACTTTAGTTTAGTAATGCTTTTCCCCATTTCTTTAAAACAAAAAGTGTAGGATATGAACAATCATACCATTTGAGAATTTCAAATTATTTATCTAACATTTTTGTTTAGTTTGGGATCTATTTCTTACAAAGTTACAGTAATGCGCAAATATGATGCTCAGAAAATCATAATTGAATTGATTAATAGCTAACACTGATGATTTTACAAATAAGAAAACAACTTTGATGGAATGCCTGGTAATTAGTATAAAGGTCAATAAGTAAGAATGAGTTTGTCATATTTCTGCTTCTGTAAACACAGATGACCAATTTTTAAATTTACATTTGACACAACATCTAAGCCTTGTTAGCCTAAGGTAAGGGTTCTCTTTCTCTGAATGCTCAAAAATTTTTATGACTTTTTCCATGTCAAGGCAAAATATCTTTGAAGACCAAAACTATTTTTTTAAAAATACGAGTTTTCAAAATATCTGCTTGGAGTGTAAAAACAAACACCGAATAGATATGTTACTATTGTTACCTCCCCATGAAATGGATAATTTAGGAATATTTCAACAATTTCTGCTGAAATATTATTCAACAAGGGTTGGGAAATAAGGGTTCGACTCTTACTGCCTAGAGTTGTTTATTAATACCCTGGATAACTAGTCTAATATACATAAAAGCCATTTGTCAATCTGTATGTATGTAATGTTCATACTATAGGTAATTTTAAATTTAAGTTATACCATTCTTATTGTTTTTTGAAGGTGTACTTGAAAACAATGAAGTGGGATGTTTGGTGAACATAGCTCATAGAAGGAAGGATGGGGACCCACTTTATTTCATTTGTTTTACAAAACTCCAACCCATCATTTTCTGATGGGTCTGACAAAGCTCTTATTACATATTCTATTGTACTTTTACTATTTTCCACAAACATGCACCTGATATTCTGTTTATTTTTGTTATATGCACAATATACTATAATAGTAATTAATATCAAAATATTAACACACATGCATTTTATGCAAAATCCTATTAAAATCTTTTAATTGTCTAAACAAGTATTATACCAATATTAAATGGTCCTAAAATTATAATCATTCAAATACATACTGAATGATAATGTATCACTATCAAGTCTTTCTTTGGCTAATTTTCAGTATTAGTAATACCATTTTATTTTGGAAAGCAAAGAAGAATATGCAATAATAATATGTCGACCATACTGTAAAAGTATAATTATAACTGCTATATCCAGAGTTGATGAGGCATTTTGCCCAATACCACTACCAGTCATCATCATCCTGACTAGGATTAGCAGGAAACGACAGAAACAATACTGGGCGAAGCGTTATTTACATTATCAAGTGCATGAACAATAACCGTTATGATAGATTAAGTGATTTATAAATTATATTTAAAATTATCAACTTTGGCTTAGGCCTAAATACAAATGGACCTTCACCAACTCGATGCAAGTTGTAACTTTTTTTTTTGTGAGGTATAAAAATTATTTTAGGCTATGCATAAGCCATAATAAAATTAAAACTCAAAGTTACGCTAATGCTTGAATGAAGAAAAATAGAAATTAGAAGTTATAATACTTGAACTCAATCGTATTCATAATGGTTTCAAATGTCAATTTAATTTTTAGAAATAAAATGGAACTTGGGAAGTTTAATTGATAAGCGATGGTAAATCAAATAGTATTACTATAGACAGTACCACCCTACTATTAGTATAGTCTATAAACAACTACTACTTACCATTTTGTTTAATGTAAAATAAATATACCTAATAGTACATATACTATTTCGACTTAGTACATATCACTTCCTACCCTCAAGCGAACTGAAAAATATCTGTAATCTAACCGTAGCGCCACAATGACTTGCATAACTCATTTTCCCTATAGGTGTCACTAAAAAATGTAAGATGTGCTCTGACATTCTAAAACTAACATAATCTCATTTTGCAACGCTTCAGGTGTGAAGATTTATATTTGTTAGAAGATCTTAGATAAAGAATTGCTCCTAAGTGCTTGAAACCCCAAGAAAACATAACACAATGTTTAGGTACAACAAGGGACCTATTGATCTATCTCGGCTGTCCCATCCTCTAAATTGAGCTAAAATTATTTTAAAAAATCTTAAAGCTAGCCCTTATCATTCATAGAGTTATCATACTGTTACGTCTCCGTTTGTTAATTGATT